CCCCAAAACCCCAAAACCCCAAAACCCCAAAACCCCAAAACCCCAAAACCCCAATAGCTTAAAATATAATTGGAATTAAATGTAATGGTTTATCAATAAGCTTAGACACATTAGTTGTACAGGTCATCATCATCGTCATCATCATTATTTTGGAATTGAGCTGAATTATCTTCTGGCCACTGGAAGGCAGGAGCATTGCTCTGGCCACCACCGACTCTAGCAGCATATGCTGGATCGAACTTCTTTCTAAATTGCTCGAATCTATCCAAATCATATGTTGTCACTGAAGTTCTAGCACTAGCCAAGGCTTCCTCGAAGTGTTTTCTTGTGATGGTTGGGACTGGGTCATCTACCTCCATCATTTGTTCATCTTCATTTTCATTATCTTTCATCAAGGCTCTTCTTTGCTCTTCAGCCTCAATAGCTTCTCTGATGGCAGATTTAGTAGCTCTCTGACACAATTCTGTTATATCAGCTCCAGAGAATCCATCCGTAAGTGAAGACAAGAAATCAAAGCTAATATTTGGAGCAATTGGAGTCTTTCTCAAGACAGCCTTGAAGACTGAGGTTCTTGAAGGAGGATCTGGCAATGGGATGTAGATTAATTGATCTAATCTTCCTGGTCTGATCAAAGCCTCATCGAGGATGTCTGGTCTATTGGTTGCTCCGATAAAGAATACATTTTTCTTTGAACCAACACCATCCATTTCAGTCAGGAGCTGATTCATGACTCTGTCTCCTGCACCTCCTGCATCTCCTTGAGAGCTTCCTCTTGCAGTACCAATGGAATCCAACTCATCGAAGAAGAGGACGCAAGGAGCGGCACTTCTAGCCTTATCGAATACTTCTCTGACGTTTTCCTCAGACTGTCCGAACCACATAGTCAGGAGCTCTGGTCCCTTGACTGAGATGAAGTTGGAAGAGCATTCATTTGCAACGGCTTTAGCCATTAAGGTCTTACCACATCCTGGTGGTCCATAGAAAAGAACTCCTTTGGATGGTTGCATACCGAATTTCAAGAATTTTTCTGGATGTTCAATTGGATACAGGATAAGCTCTTGAAGCTCTTTCTTTGTCTTTTCCAATCCACCAATATCGTCCCAGCTGACATCTGGAACCTCTACGACAGTTTCTCTCAAACTGGATGGGTTACATGCGCCCATTGCAACTCTGAAATGATCATTAGTCACTGCCATAGCATCCAAAATCTCAGCATCAATATTGTCCTCTTCAATATCAATAATATCCATCTTCTCTCTGATACACTGTAAGGCAGCCTCGGTACAAAGAGCTGCGATATCAGCACCCACATATCCATGGGTCTCTTTAGCAACCTGGGCGAGGTCGACGTCTTCTCCAAGCTTCATGTTCCTGGTATGGATTCTGAGGACCTCCATTCTACCGATTTCGTCTGGGACACCGATGTCGATTTCTCTGTCGAATCTTCCGAATCTTCTTAAGGCTGGGTCGATGGAGTTTGGTCTGTTTGTAGCAGCAAGAACGATGACGGATCCTCTTCCTTTTAGACCATCCATAAGAGTCAGCATCTGGGATACAACTCTCTTTTCTACTTCACCTCCAGTCTTGTCTCTCTTGGGAGCGATAGAGTCTAACTCATCGATGAAGATGATTGCGGGTGAGTTCTTTTCAGCTTCTTCAAAGGCTTTACGAAGATTTGACTCTGCCTCACCAGCCATTTTGGACATGATTTCTGGACCATTGATGAGGAAGAAGAATGCACCGGTCTCGTTAGCAACTGCTCTTGCGATAAGAGTCTTTCCTGATCCTGGAGGACCATATAAAAGAACACCTCTTGGTGGCTTAACTCCCAAAGTCTTGAAAAGAGTTGGATGTCTAAGAGGAAGCTCAATCATTTCTCTGATCTGAGCCATCTGTTTTCTGCATCCACCAACATCATCATAGCCAACTCCGTCAAGTTGTTCTTCATCTTCTCTCTTGATTGGCTCTCCTTCGTCGAAGATCATGGTGTTTGGAGATACGATGACATACTCTCCTGGATCAGTCTCAACAACCTTGAACTCAACAGACTTGAATCCTCCTCTTACCATGAAGGTATCTCCCTTTCTCAAAGGTCTGTAGCAGTCCTTGAAATAAGGAATGAGATAAGTCTGAGTAAGATTTCCTGTGATACCTTCAATAGTATCATCAATAGGAAGAATATGGACCTTCTCAGCATTGGGGACATCACTATGTGGGTGAACTCCGACTACATCACCAAGTCTGACTCTGAGGTTTCTTCTGACAACCTTGTTCATTCTAATCTTGCCATCTTCCAAGTCATCTCCATCTTCAGGAGTAAGTGCAAGGCAGACTGTATCCTTTCTCTTCTTTCCCTTCAAAAGAACAGTGTCTCCTTTGAATATCTTTAATTCTTCCATCTTAGGAGCAGTGATCATAACGACTGAGTTATCATCATTAGTCGCATCTTCAACAATTAGTTTGTATGGGGCCTTCTTTCTCTCAAGAATGGCTGTCGAGAAATCTTTCTTTTCACTCATATTTAAAATAACTATAAAATCCTAAATTATTTATATAGGACTAATGTGTATCAACCAAATTTTGGCCATACGGGGTTTTGGGGTTTTGGGGTTTTGGGGTTTTGGGGTTTTGGGGTTTTGGGG